TTCTAATTAAACATGAGAAAATGGGAAGCAAATTCGTGTTGATTTCCCACCAGGCGTAACATCCGTGACAATTTTCTGTGATCATAGAAACGACCGAGATTATTACTTGCGATCACGGAAACGCCTAAAAATGAAGAATCGGCGTAAGAAACTTTAACGAACATCCGTGATCGTATGTTACGATCGTGGCCAAATCCGTGATAATTTCTAGCGATCAAACGCAGAAATAACTGTGAAGGTAAACTACGACAGCAATGATGATGACCGGTGATGATTTCACAATTGTTGCAACATTCGCATTCATCTCCAGCGATTATTTTAACACCCGTAACTATTTTTTGCGATCGACGAAAAATTAATGATCATCTTGCACTTGCGGCTCAGTGTGTGATGATCTATCGATATTGCGCCAATATTCGTGGTCATTTCTACAGTAGTTTCTCGCAATGGCGTTTTTCGATTACGCAAAACGTGTAAACTCTGTGTTTCGGGTGGATTTTACGGCAAATATTTGACCATTTTTATTTCCCGGTTTCTTACTAAATTCTACAACTCACGGACTTTTTCCTGATACTTAAAATTCACGTGCTATTCCCGGTTTCTAGGTTTGCAGAATTAGGTGACCCTGAATTATCACTACAAGTAGCCTAGGCTAATTAGGATTTATTTTTTATCAACCGTATCTAAAATGTATACTTATCAATTTTGATGTTTTTATCTGGTATTATTAATGTAAACCTGCACATTATTCGCATTATGTATACAAGTATAATTGTATCTGTATATTTCTTGGCCTAGTCTTGTATTTTATTCGTATTTCGTACTAAACAAAATCTGGATAGACTCGAACTCAATTCTGTGTATTCTAGTCATCACAAAGGATCTCATACTTCGACGCCAATTCCTAAGACAATTGGAACGCAGTGCGCGCAGTATTTCCAACTCATTGCTGAAAAGCATGTTTTCATGGTATTCCCAGCTCATTTCTAAATACATTACCTCCACCGCAGCCCGCAGCAAACCTGCACACTAAGTGAATTTCAATTTGTTTGATTGGATTCTTACTAAAATTGTCCATCAACAAGACATATTTATTCCCCATTTAAATAACATTAGATTTAACAAACACCTAGGGTTTACTGCTACGGCGAGGTTAAAAGTGTTTTTTTTTTGCAAAATATTAATAGTATAGGATGAAATCAATAAATTCGCCAAATATGATCAACATATTTATCACAATTGTGTTTTATTTATACTTCAGGACACGTAACCTGTTGTGCTATTATTTGCATTAGATTATGTTTCTTATTGTGCAATTTTGACGATGCCTACCTACACCTTGGTATATTTATAAACTGAAAACTTCAAATCTAATGATAAATTATGTGTTTATCGAGTTCTTTAACGCCAGTAATTCACTATAACGGGTTAAGAGCATTCATATAATACATTTAGTAAGAAACATTTTACATTCCATTGCAATCTTAATCCTTTAGAACATATTATTTAATTATTTCTGACTTCATCGGTAGTTAAATGACTTTTTCTATTGATACTTGATTTAAATAAGTACACAGTTAGTATGGCCTCTTTTAAGTAGCGACATGAAAAGCATTTAACTAAGTTATGAGTAAAGTAAAGTGTTGTGTTTAAAAATCGTCACTGTGATGAGTGTGGGATATTCTCATTCCCGTTTCTCCCTGCACGTTGCCAAACCAACCTCCCCTTCCTGAGGAATCCGCCGTGGCAGTTTCAGTGTTTCTAGCATTCTCAAAAACACCCTTATAATCCTCACTAATTGGCGTGGCAGTTTCGGTATGGATTATGATCATAAAACGTCGTGGCAGTTTCGGTACAGCCAGGAAAACACTTTGACCTAAATTTTATTTAAGATCTTTTACTTATGAAAGGATTATTAGTTAATTAAATACAAGTGTATACTTAATATCTTCCATCAATACAAAACTGATACATAGGTCTTTTTAAGACCTATGTAACAGTTTTGTATTGGTGGGTGTGGTTTCATTGGTATTTATAGCCGAAAAATAAAAATAAAACACACAAATACAATTTGCATCTTTTAAAGCACGATTTTCATTTTTAAATTAGGAATATTATCTGTGTACCAAAACTGGCTGAAGAGGTTATGTTCCTAGAACAGCCTAAGTCCTGTGGGTTTTCTGCTCCCTGGGCTAAAACATCACGAAACGACGAAACTATAATGTAACGAAACTCTCAACAATTACTGTACTTCAAATTCCACGGCCTTTATAATCCCCCAACCATAGCTGCGCGGCGCCAACAGTGCCTAAAGAACACGGCCGACTAAATAGCGTCGTCGTCATTGTTACAGCCTTCCAAGAAAGAGCCCAAACACCTGACTAGGGACGGAAGCCGAACTTATCAGCTGTTGAACAAACATGTGTGCACCGACAAACACACAACCTGCTGTTACTGATAACATTCGTGTCGGTTTCTCAGTCAGCATTGTAACATCGAGCATGTTTGCTGAATATGGCAAACACGATTGGAATGTTGGGACTTAAAAGTTCAGTATATAAGGCTACGCATGGGTAAATATTTAATCTTAACTGTTTGGTGATTTGGCATTGTTGGAAAAAACTGTGTTAAAAATAGCATCCAAAACAACTACGGTACCATGTGCCTTGTCTTCTTGATTTTAGGCACCTAAAGTCTTCATTGGAACTTTAGGATACCTACCTACAAAAGTAAAGTATTTTTCTTGTTTTTTTCAACGCCAGGGTCATTTTTTAATTGAGCACACTAAAAACACAACCCCTAAAATAATATAAAAACATGTTGTATTATAAACTGTGTTTTGTTTGTGTTTCCTAATAAACTTGGTACTTTTGATAATGCTATGAAACGTGTGTTTGTTCTAGTTGGGCCTTGGTTTGTCGTTTGTTGGTTCTATAATTATTAACATGTAGGTAACCATTTACACAAGATTCCATTTCCTCACAGGAATATATAGAAAAATATGGGTCAAATCAACTATTATAACACAAACTATTTTTCCCGCAAGTGTCTACTTTAATGGTAGTTCAAATTTTAACATTCTAAATTTGAAAGAAAAAACGGCCAAACCCCACCAATTGTATTGATAAAGACAGATATTAAACCCACCTTCTCGCTCTGGAAGTCAAGGACGCTACCCTGTACCCAGTAGGCAACGAGGGTACATACAATGTTTCTTACAAGACCCAAGACCCTCCTTTAGAAGTTAATAACACACTAGGATTGTTATGTGTTGTATGGAAGGTATATTAAAGTTCAAGGTGAGTGGACGAGAAACTCATTAGTCCAAGTCACGATAAACCGAAGGCCATCAGGCAAAACAAGTCGTTAGGTCGTCATAGTTAAAAGTCTCGTACCTTTGGTAATCACCTGAAATAGACTCAAACTGTGCGACAACCGGTAATGACCAAACTTAAAAAAATGGATTTGAATCCAGGTACGAGCCAAAAATGTTGAAGTCTAAAATAAACTTATGACTTGTGAGACGTATGACGTTATGAGGTATGAGCACGCTGAATGATAAGGTCTTTTCTGGTTATTTATGAGATATTTTACTTCTGTCAACTTTATTAGTTTTAGTTTATGTGACGACACTCCAATCTTTTATACCTTGTGCATTATAAGATGTGATGAGTTAAAGAATTTGAATTTGAATTTGTGCATAAAAAACAGGGTGGTAAAAAGGTACACTTCGAACATAATATTTACAACACGTCTTTTTTTTTATAAAAAAAGAGGTTGGCGGCCTCTTTTAACCTTACATTTGCCCTTCCACATAGACTAAGCGCCCGTGCGTGGATCGTTTACAGCAAAGCAAGGAGTGAGCCGGTACAGTACAAAGGTGAACTGTACTGATAAAATGTTATCGGCAGTGACCAGGATCCGAACCCACGACATTGCTGCCTTGGGCCCGAAGTCCGCGACGCTACCGACTGAGCCACCGACTCACTAACTGTCTTGTTTTTTTAGCATTAGTACTATAAAATAATGAGGCAATTAATCTTGGTTTTACATAAATTTCCTTGCTTGATATTAAAATGAACTTCTCCAGGAACAATTCGGTTTTAATTTCACCATGAATGATGGATGTTCCCATAATAAGTAGGTTTATCTGATCCTGAAATAAGCTCATTATTATAAAACACAGGCAGTGACTTTACAGCCCAATATTTTGCCCAAGATTTTGCGAGGGTGGCAAAATCTTTGCATATTAATTTTATGATGGTGTAATTAATGTTAGAACAAAACATTTCTTTTCTAAAAATGACTAAGTAATGTCACCAATTGTACCTCATCCCTGACTATAAATACGAATTTGTTGATGAATATATCAAAGATTATTATACTTGATTATGAAACAGTTCATCTAAAACAGCTAAAAGCTATACCTGACAGAACTGCAGCCGGGAAGTCAAGTCTAAAGCTAAATTTGGTTGGCTTTTCATTGACCGAGGCGACCGACTTATTGGCTGAGCAGTCTAAGTTGTCTCTACAGCCAGAAGACAGTACACACCGTAGATTGAGGCAGTGGCGGTTCCAAGGGGGATTTGTAGGAGCTAAAGCCCCCTGGAAAAATAAATTTAACATAACAGAACACAGGTTTTCAACTACAGTTATAAGCAAATTAACCAGATTACCCCGAACCCCCCTTTTGTTGTGGGACACCACCGGTAGCCCCCATCTTGACAAGGTCCTAGAACCGCCACTGGATTGAGGGTTTAAATCTTGTCTCAGGATTAACTAATGAGCTTACGACGAGTTACCCCGGCTGTGGAAAGCTAGTGGAAGAGGCTCATCTAAAATAAACAGTTGAAAGCTGATGTGGAATGTGACTCGATGGGTGAATTCCTTAGTTGCAGGCAATTTGATACTAGAAACCCCCAAAAAAGAGTTTAAAATGTTAAATAGTTCACCACATAACTATTACAAATAACACCATTAACAAAATAAATATTTTTCAGATAGCCATCCAGAGATGTCCCTACACCTGCCATGAGCTCCTGAATCCGATGTAGAGGCTTCTTTCAAAAATGCTTCGTAGCTGCTTATTGGTTGCCGCAGCAATTGCAGTCTCCTGGGCGACTGCTGCGGTGCCCTGCGGAGACAGACGATGCGAAGACTCCGAGTACTGCAGAGAAGGTCAGCTGTGTCATCCTTGCGAGGACATCTGCGACCCCCACAGTCCCAACTATGATTCTGACCCTTGCAAGAAGAACTGTGCAGGTTAGAAATGTAGGATTTTATAGCTACGATTATTTAGTCCATATCAATATTATGATTATAAGACAGCGACACACTCCTACGTGCATATTTTAAGCTGAATTTGAATGAAAGGTGAGTGTTGGATGGAGTAAATCGATCTGCGTAGTTTGGTTACTGACTAAGATCAGCTGTTTTGTTAGACGATCATTTAGCCCAAGGACCAAGGATAGCTGTGTCCAGTTTTGAAAATTCAGAAAGCTATTGACTGCTCAAAATAGAACCGGCAGCCGTTTTATCGTTATGTCAGCACCCCAGCTACCCAGCTAGTTAAAACAATATATAAAATCCCTGATTATATGAAACTAAGGGTGTAACGATGTTAGTTAATGGTTGGAATTTTACGGCTATTTTAGTTCAAAGAGATCTAATGGTTTTTGACATTATTTTTATCTCAAAATCTATCACTGTATACAAATGTATTTCTTAAAATAATCAACAATTATTTTCTGAACTTCATCTTCACTGTGTTTGCCAACTACCTGCACAAAAACAGACAGTTTCTGTTGCCCAGCTTATTTGAATTTTTGATGGTTTCAATAACCCTTCTGGTTTATCGAAGTGCGGTTAAAAGTGGGTTGAAGTTTTAAGGTTATTCTTTTTATATTCTCTATTCCAGCATCGATCGGTATACCTAAGTATTCTCTGGCAAACAAGGCAACTAGAAAACATTTTAAGGATAGATTATTTGAATGGGCCCCATTTTGTTCAATAAGCTCATGTGAGGAAATGTGTGAGGCCCAGGGTTACATAAAAATATATATTTTGTATTGTATTTTGTATATTTTGTCCTCAGAGAGTTGATTGATTGATTGATTTTTTCCTTTCAGATTACCTCCTAATTAAGATGTTTGTAAGCAGAGATGAATATAACGGTAAGTGAAAACAAATGTTTGAAAACATAAATTTTATGAATTTAAAAACAAAATCTGTTATTAAAACTTATGAACACTCCTTGTACTGAAAAATACTCTAATAAATGCATTTAATACATGAATGACCTGAATTTATTCTATTTGAAGATAAATTAGTTCATTGAAGGGGTGTTTGGTATATTCCTTGAAAACAATAAAAATTGGACGACAACCACAATTTATTAGACTCAAGCTCTGTAGTGTATGTATGAATGCCACAAGAGAAAGACACTTAATTATAAAATCTTATGTAAATTAAGAAATAACAGCTTGGTAAATATCTATGCATAATTAAATGTTACAAAACATACATCAAAATATATTCAGATTTTACATAATGATGATACGTCTTTTTAAGCTACTCGAGTTGAGTCTAAGTAAAGTAATTCAGTAAGTCGATACCAAAACTTAAATGCCTCAGATCGACAATACACCTTTTCCATACTTAAAGAGTGAATTTAGATATTACATAATATGTTTTGTATCCCATTTAATTTCTTGATTCCTATTTCAGCCGCAGTTTCAAGATTTTATTTCTACACGGCAGCTGCCCTGGTCGTCTCCATGTTGGTATTAGTGCTGGTTCTGGGAGCGTTCTTCTTCATTTGGCTCAAATATCAACGAGTCCGAGGGTACAACACTGGGGCTATGAAGAAGAAGAAAGTCGAGGCTATGAAGGTACGTCTTCATTTAGTCTTGAAGATTCATACTATCAGGGATTAATTGTATGGGGATTAGTAGCAAATATTTTGAATAACTGTAAAAAAACATTCTCTCATTGAAGACATCAATATACTTATGAACACTGAAGCTGAATATACATGAGTGTAGAATGGAGTGAAGTGCCTCTGTAGCTTTGTTACTGTCTAAGATCAGCTGTTTCCTTGGGCAGGACTATTTCAAGTTTAATTTCAAAGGATAACTTTGTCTAGTTAAGTAACTTATGACCTAGGAAGTCTTTAATCATTTGCAGTATTATAAACTTCCCTATACAGCATTGCGGTTTGCACGTGACTCGCTACGGGCCCGAGAGATATTTGCGCCCCCTCCTCCTTCTTTTGAAGGGAATTTTTTTCTTTCTTGTGACCTCAACAAACCTAAAACATGTGCGCCCCGGCGCCCTAAAGAGCCCATGCTTCCTAATCTTTGAGTTGCTGATAAAAGTTTTGTAGCTTTCCTATATAGGTTCGAAACTGGAACCAGTTTTCTTAGATCGGTGGGCTAATATGGGATCCTGGCCAAAAAAGCTGAATTTCTACAGCAACAAAGCTATCATCTTATCCATTCAAAACTCATCCATTACTTGCCTTCGCCTAAAATTACGCACATTGTTGAATCGGCATCATATCAATAATCATTTATTATGAACACAGTAACTAATATTATTTTTGACTTCTGAAAAAACATAAATTGAAGGTTGAAGCGTACTGTGTAGTTCTAAAATTTTACAAAAATTAAAGAAAACAGCAAAATAACACTCAAGAAAATTGTTTCACTGTACTTTACAGAACTCTAAAACCTTATAGGACTATCAAGCTACATACGTCTATGACTTTTTTTGTCACATGTAATTCTATAAACAGTTTATGAGCAGGAAAAAAATATCAGGTAAAATAGATTCGTAACTAAATGATTGATTCTGTGATTTCACATAAAATAACCACAATATTTTCTATCATGCATATTGGGTTGTGTATAATGAAAGTTGTGATCAATAAGTGAAATAACCACTCGTTGTGACAGCAGATACCTGAACAACAGGTATTTAGCATAGAAATTAGTTAAATGAAGAGATCGCATTGTACTTTATAATTGGAAACAGGTTGAAGGCCTTCTGTTGTTGGGAGTTGTTGATGGCTTCTATAGAAGTGGATTGAAAGCTATAGCTTTCTAACAACTTTCTGGTTAACAGAAAAACATTCATCCAAAGTTTTTTTTGTTGCATATTCAGTGGAATCGGCTGAGTATTATAGACCTGTTTTTTTGTTAGGAGGGTTATATTTACTAAGTCATTATCCTCAATATTAAGAATAATAAAAGTTTAGTGTAGCAAGCAACATGTAACATAGACTTTGTAGAAGAACTCCAACTATTTTATCCGGATAATCTAAGATTCAGATGGTTAGATTATTCAAGAAAAAAAACTATTTAAAATAAACAAGATGTAGTTTCAAATCAAATTTTAATAATGTACGTTTTGACAATTCGGTACAAATGTTCACTACAATTTATTTACCATATATAGGACACAATTGGTGCACTTACAAATGTAATTGATTTCGGTAAACTGCAATAAGCTTAATTTCTACGGCCAGTTTTATTTATTTCTTTCTCCATGTGGTGATTTGGATGATCTGTGATCTGAATGAGTGGAGTTAGAATAGTTGGTGTTTTACTGTATAGAACTTATATGGATTTCTTTTTGAATAGATTGGTTTAGAGAGGAAGGGGATAAAGTAGAGTGTGTGGAGGTTGTTGCCCTATTATTGTATTCTTGTATTATTGTAATTTCAGTGGAAAAACCTAAATAACCATAAAATAATGTTAATTGCTGTCTAAATTAAGGTCTTATCATTGCATAGAGGTTGTACTAATGGTAAATGAAGTAAAGAACACAGCATTGATATCAAATCTGAATCAGCTTGCTTCCCTTAGGTCACCGTAACGGGAGCCTTTTGAAGACCATAATGACCAACCCCGCACCATGAAGATTTTTCTATACAAAACTCTTTTGATTTCAGGCTGTCTGTGTCAACGAGGTGGACGGTAAGAAGAATTTGAAACTGGAGATTGGAGTCCCAAACACAGACAACAAAGATGTGCCACAGAGTGCCTTAACCACTATGACTCCGTTGAGTACGAGGCATCCGTCTGAAGACGCTACATTGGAGTATGCCTACGACAATCCAGCTCTCACACCGTCGCCTCTCTTCGGGAAAACCCATCCGTCCTCGACGCCTCAAGCCGCCACATCGCCTAACTCCACTCCTAGAGTTCCCAGGACTGAAACTAGCTTTTAGAGGAAAGTAATCAAAGTGTGAAACCTTGCATTTAAAAATGAACTTATTAGCGTAGTTAGTGAAATGCACTTTTGTGCTATTTACGAAGATTGTTTTGGATAGAATTACTGAAATCCTTTTGAGTTTATTTTTGGTTTACGAACAATCCTACTCAAATGTGCTGCCATTGATTGGCTGACTGGTAGAACATCTGCCGTTATTTTAGAATCTCTGACTATGTTGACTTTGTGATAAGTTGTTTTTACAATTGCTTTAAAACTTCCCTAGAGATATATGATTGTAAATATTTTGTTATGCATTTCAGTGAGCTGATTTAAAAGTATTAGTTTTGTACAGGAACTGTAAGTTCAGTATTATTTTCTAAGTGATATCCATACATTACATTCCAAACTTGTGTAATATTTTAGTACTTAGGTGTTTTTATAGCAATGATTAATGCATTTTTATATTATTGTACTTATATTGAGTTGTAGGTTGTAAATATAGATATTCTATAAATCTTGAGTATTTTTTATGTTATAATAATGCTTAGTTAGGCAAGTTCACATGGAAAATAATTTATAGAACTCCCTGCTCGGCAAGCCTTGTATGGGAACTATCATGCTCGTACTTAACACCTTCAAGGGCGTGTCCCATTTCAAACATTTTGTCATAGTTTCAACAAAAATACAAGGTAAGCAGAACTCGCCCCAAAAATACACAACACTGTTTAATATAGACTATTTCAACAGTTTTTTTTTTTGCTTTTCTTATAAAAGGTTATGTTTTTAAACCTTTCCAATACATTATGTGTGTTGGAAAAAAGATTAAAACGGTTGTTGTAAAAAAAATTAAAAATGTAGTCTCAACTTCAGTTTAGATGCAGCTTGCAATAGAAAAAAGTACACCCAATATAAGAATACAATATGAATGTGTTCTCTTATCAAAAGATAACACATAATGTTTTTCTAATTGAGTAAGTCATCACATCTGCCCACTTGTTTACTTCAAAAGTAAACATATCACAAGAAACTTTCACACAGATATTAGCTAATTGAATATCACACAATACAGCAATACAAGAAGAATATTACGTAAAAAAGTGTTGCTGTAAACGGCAATTCATACAAGCTCAAAATATGTCAAGTATATTTTTGGTACCTATATTATAGTCATGGAAAAAAAACATTATCTATTGTACAAAAACTTAAGGCAGCTGGTTGTCAAGTGCATATTATGTGATGGTCATCTGTTATTTAGGTTAAGCGCACAAAATTGTTTGGTTTAAGAAATAATACCATTGTTGCAATCTGCCAGACCATCTTTGAATACTTATTTTTTCTTTCACTATGGACATCACTACTCGTATAATCATCACAAATACCATCACTCCTAAGTATACCAGGTTCTTCGCAAGTTTTTTTGAAATAGGTTTATAGTATTAAAAAAAATTACGATATGTTAAACAATAAATTCCAAGTCCCAGCTATGTTAGGGGGTCTGTCCAATTTTTTAGAGTTAATAGTTTTAAATCACCAAGCACACCTTGTTATTGGTAACACTTTTTTTGATGAACACTTTTTGCTTATGCAATCACTTTTGTTATATACACTGATATTGAAATACATATTTTACGCTTGATTTTGTAGCATTTATCAAACAGGACATCTGTTTAGATCAGAGAAACTGTCCTGATGCCATTGGAATTGTCAGAGATAATGATACTGAATGAATAATATAGTGTTACCGTAATTCATTTTAATGAATATATTTATTGTTGAATGCAATATCTTAGTGTATCAAAATGCAATAACATAGTCTTTCACTAGTTGTAAAGGTGTTAGCCTACAAGTTTATTTCAATCAAAATTTTTACTAGTAGAAATTTGTTATGAATAAAACTTAGGCCTATATACTATTTTTACAGAATATTGTAATTATGAAGTTTTTTTTAATTTGAGATGTGTTGAATACTTTCAAATCTTATTTACGATATTTAAACTCTTAATTTATGACGTTGTATGTAGATATTATTTAATCACACATTTAGTTTAGGGTGAAACTACAGTAACAAACACAGAAGAAAGAATCAGTCTCAAAAGATGCTTTTGGTCGTATAAAAAAATATCATTGTTGAAGGTCAGCTGAAGACTATTTTATACCGATTGTTTTTGTCCAATTATGTGTTCAGTATTATCTTCTGTAGCCATTATAAAGTACACGTTAAATCAGGCTTTTTATTTTACAAGAGATTATAATTATAGCTGTGTCAATGGTAATACTTTATCTAAAACTCTAAAAGCGAGTCTGCACATTCGGCATTCGCGCAGACAATTGGCGAGTTTTTGTTTTGGAATTTGCCGATTTCCGAGCAGAGGTGCCTACATATTTGTCACTTTCCATATCAAAATGCAGTTCCCTGCTCTTGGAAATATTCATACGTTTTGATGTGTGAGAAGACCAAAACGGAGCAAGAAACGGCGAGCAGTGACATTCGCTGAATGACAAATAGACAAACATGCATCTACATTAGTCGTGATTCGGAGAGTACCTGCCCAGCATTTGGCAAAATGTGCGGAACCGTCTTAAGGATTACAATCAGAGCACTTAGTATTTGATTCTTTCTTCTGTAAAAAAACAATCACAGCAATAAAGCAAACAAACTGTGTTATTAATGGATTTTACATTAAGGAATCTCTTATTCTCTAGGTTAAGTGTTGTATTTTTAACTTAAGTGTAAATATGTTGTATGTATGTTGTTGAACAGCATGTGCCTGATCAGAAAATCCGTCCCATTGCACAGAGTAATCTTACGTCCAATTGGGTTACTCTGTGTTGTATGTATATATATAGTTATAGTTCGTAATGCTAAGTGATGTGTTGGTAAAACTGTATATTATTTGTTGAAATGATGTATTATTTTACCACCGTGTTAATAACACTGCAATTGAATAAATTATTTGACTATAATGCTGTAGATTCATTTCTTCACCTCAGAATTAATCTCAAGTCCTAAATAATTTTTTCAATCAAACGTTTCAAAACTTCTTAAAATTTTATTTATATGTGATTTTCAATCACTTGCACAGAGGACTCAGAATGTTTAGGTTCAGACTTTGCGAAGTATATACCTGAGCAGCCCCAGATAAGGTTGAATTGTGATGTACAATTTAAATTCATATAAAAACAATGATGATGATGTTTTGTGTTTGAAAATTACGTATTTCTAATAATGAATCAAAATGACATCATATTGCCGTTAGAGTGTGTTGTGGTGGTTAGATTCTTGAACTTAGGTTCAAAAGGAGGTCAATCTCCTGATTTCATGGTATTTAGTCATTCACAGGGAGGGTCATAAATCTCATAAGGTCTGATAACCAAAGATTGGATAATGAAGATTCAACTGTTAAAGCAAAACCGCTATGCTTACATATTATTTTAGGCTAAATATATATGAATGCAGGATCAGTAGCGGAACGTACATTAATAAATTACAGTGTACAACAAGTTACGAGCAATCAAAAACAATAGGCTAAAATATTAACTAAATCGATCAATAAATAATTTCCATCAATACGATTGCCACAATCAAAATTTACATCTGTTTACAACAGCTAATTTTTAATCCCTGGAGAGGAAAAATGCTTTTTTCCCAAACTATGATGTTTTTGGCTGTATTACATATGTATAGTGGTGGCCGAAAGTTACGTTTTGCTGGCCATGCCAGCTGTCATCGTAATTTGGGGACCGAGCAGGTTTTTACAGCCCGGGGCCGCAAAATCAGCTGTCCGCTTACTTACAACATGAATGCATTTTAAATACACAATAAAAATCCATAGCATTGCAATAGAATTGTGTTATTGTCACCATTGCCTAGCAACTATTTATTAGCGAATTTCCCATATAGGGAATAAGCTATTACCGTAGTACTCATGGTAAGACCTGGACGCGGGACCGATTTTTTTTTTCGTTTTGAGGTCCCTAGAGGCCAAAAACACCATCCGTTCAAATTCATATATATATATATATTTATATATTTATATATTTATATATTTATATATATATATATATATATGTGTCCGTTAGCACTATAACTCGAGCAAAAATGATCCGATTTTGATGAAATTTGGTACAAACGTGTAAACCTACGTTTATTCGAACGAGTTCGCGATCCAGCATGATCGGACCATGGGAACGGGGGTTTACGGGGGGTTTTATGGGGTAAAAATAGGGTTTTCCTATTTTTTACCCAAAAAACATAAAATTTAGCAATTTCTTTTCAAACCATTTTGTAGAGCTTAAAAAAACAAATAATTTAGTATATTGAAGCGTTATTATGCGCCTAATGGTTATGGAGAAAATTCAAAAAAAATTGTAAATTTAAAATTCCAATGTTATTCTTATGGAGAATAAGTAAACTGTTGTAGTTTGCTTGTTTATTAACATATTTTGATCAAATTTGGAAAATGCATCTATTTCTTACTAACTATTAACATTTTACAAAAAAAGAACAGTTTTACCCTCCCTGATGCAGCAAACCTAAGTACTTGTTAAACTAATTCTATTTAAATAGGGAATAAATGATATATTTTTAAGTATACATTTCAGTGTAAATCCAATCAGTCAAATGGAAATTCGCTTAGTCTGCAGGTTTGCTGCGGCGGGGGTATTTTTATTTTTGCTGATTCCTCAAATTATTTCTTCACTTAACCTTAAAGTTGTAGTTGTGTTGACTATCAGTGTGCATTATTATAGTGGTGAATAGTGGTAATAGGGTATAGTGTGGTGAAAAATAGCGTTCGTACCTAGGGCCGAAAATGAGGTTTTGTCGGCTCGAGATAGTTTTTAAGTTCGAGACGAAGTCGAGAACTTAAATCGATCGAGAGCTGCAAAACCATTTCGGTCCGTGGTACGAACGCTATTTTTCACCACACTATACCCTATTACCACTATTCATATACTATTTCAAAAAATATACTATTTCAGACCCGCAAAGCATGCATTAAAAACGGCTGTTTTTGCTGCAGTATGAGGAAAGTATATTCTGGTATTAAAGGGTTGAAAGTTATTGTTTATGATCAGGTGGTTATTTAGCCATGACAATTTATTAAAAAAGATGTGGGGAAAAGAAAACTTTCTCAGGATTTAACTGACAACTATCTGATTACAAGGCAACACTATGACCACATAGCTCTCTCCTGCTGCAAGTCGATCTACATGAATCCATAGAGACAAGTACAGTCAAACAACCCTAATGCCCCGTACGGGACGATAGTGGAAAGGATAGATTATATCGGAAATTAATGCCTTTCCAAAAACATAGTTTTTGGCACCGAATTGCCAGATACCTGAGACTTACCCTCCTCACATCCCTAACAGTAACTTCCTATGTACAAGGTCCCAGTAAGTCGTTTAGTGCCAGGTGAGTGGTATAGTATTGGCTCTTGACCAAACATTCACTTTTAGTATGATGGTACAGCTTTCCCAAACCATCGGTGAAGTGCCTTCTTAGGGTTATCTGAGTGTATATAAAGAATATGGATTTCTATGTAAATTTATATTTAGGCACTGTAAAGCTGATAATCATTGTCATTTATCAAATCAAATCAAAATCTCCTTTATTCATAAATGTACAAGTACAATGAATGGAGTCAGTGAGTCACTTTATGACTGTTATTACACAATTTGAGATAGAACAGGGTGTAGAGAGAAAACACACAATTACTCATTTCAATTTAATCTAAATAACAATACAATGAAATCAACAAAATGTCAAAATCTGTGTTACACTTCCAAACACAGTCTCAAGATTTTGTTCAACATAAAATACTCTTAATTGAACAAACAAGGTAGAAATATTGTTAGCACCTCGCTTTGTGCTACTTACAACATTTACAAATAACATTAAAAGGTTTCAAAACATCCAACATTGAATACAAGTTTTCGTTGGATTACATCACAAGTTGTAATAATTTTGATATTTGTTTCATTGCTCTGAGTGGTGCAGCTATGAGTTACTTCTGTGGCACGGAGTAATACAATTTTATTCAAACATTTTCTTTCAATGAGTTGTATGAGATTAGAGGTGATTAGAGGAGATATTGAACGTAGTAATGCAAATGATTTTCCATTGTAGTTCCTGTCTGGCAAATTGTGTTAATGGCGTAGATTTGTTAAATAACCTCTACGGGCATTGAAAACGCCAATCATTGAGTTTAACGAGCTGGCAAAGCTTGTGTTTATCCTAAGCAAATTAGTATGTACACTCTAAGAGTCACATGTCAATATGTTCATTGCGATTCTCAGAAGTTAAAAAAATTGAGTCTATTTCAAATTTTATAAGTTTTTTACTAGAATATAAGAGAACACTGTTTCTGGGTTCACAAGTGTTAGTAGTACGGTAGATAGTTAAGTCTGATCAACAAACGAGCTTTCACTCCCAGCACAGCCCTGTGTGACTGTATGAATTCCATATCGTTTAGGAAGCAGGGTCCAGTTCCAAACCGTCAACAAACACCTGGCTTTTCTCAGGATCGGACCGGCAACCTCCTGATTGTATGGCAATCGTAACCACTCAGCTACTTATCCTTACTATGTGTTCGCCACCCAATAACTAGTTTAATAAGGACCCAGATGCCACTCAATATTAGGATGTCAATTAATGATGCTATATTGCCATCTCAAAGGTCGACATATCTGACAAGACCAGGGTTTGGACCGTTCCTTTACAAACTATGTAAACTTTTCCATGACAAAGATTAGCACAAAATAAATTTGGATTTCTATATTTGTATGAGCTCAGGAAAAAATAAGCGTAGTTAATATGAATAATTGCTGGGAGTTAAAGAGTTAAAGTATGTTCCAAACGGACATATACTGCTGTACCTGTATGATTAACGGAACTGAAAATACTAGACTCGGCCACAAGAGTAATCCCAGGTGCTACTTTAACCACATACAGCAACCATTTCTCCAATGTTTGTTCAAAAATAACAAACTTAAATAATCTTCAATTTATCTTTGGCACAAAATGAATGTCTTAAAACTAAAACAGTGTACGATAACAAAAGTGTGATTATTAGGAAAATAAGAATTTGCAGAAATGCAAAGAATCCTATCAAGAAATGGCTATTAAAATAGTTAACTGTCTGTAGTCAATTGAATTGCAAAATAATCTAAAGCTCAAGTAATTTTATGTTCCAAAATTAATTTTAAAGGAACCATGGAGCGTTTTGGAGACGATCCAGAGGCCATCCCATCATAAAGTTAGAAACATAAAATAATTTGAAGGAATACGAGGTTTATTTCCCCAACAACTCACATTTATCCTTTAATACCTTTATAATATAAAAATGTCTCATTAAAAATTAACTTTTCTTCTAGGCTAAGTAAGATTGACAGTCTTAACAAATAATGACTACCTATAGTAGATAGCCGATGTTTCAAAAGTAGATTTTTAAACTTACAAAGCTGTAGAACTAAGTTAAATGTTTGATCTGTATACTTAAAATACATTTTTATCACAGTAAGGAACTTACCATGCAAACTAAAAATGCAGATCTTAACAATGCATTAAATTGTCTTTTAAATTGATCAAAAAAGGCTTTTACAAAACATTAGGCCTAATATATTGTAGAGCAATTGCTTGAGTATGTTTGTACAGAAATAAAACAAACTTTCAAGCAATAAGAGAATATTTTCAACATTTTATCATAACAAATGGAGACCAACAAGGTACCTGCTCAAAATCATTTGAAAGTTTAGGCAGGCCAACACTTAACATATATTTCAGTAGCCTAAGCATAATCAATTAGCCTTTTCAATATCAGTCAGGTATTTAAGTGACAACAATTCAAATATAAATTATAAAAAGCAAGATGTTATCCATTTATAATTTTTATCAAACACTGACCTGGATTGATATCTTTTCTTGAACTGACAGTTTAAACTAGGCCTACTATCTTTCTTTTGGTTTTATCAACTCATGTTTATAACAACAACTTGTCCCATTATTATTAAATAATCTGCTAAAAGCTGATTTCAACAGCTTACGATTTGATAGAAATTTAGCAATGAAAATACCTGTATTAAAACTTAAGAACCTGTACATTTATAGTAACGTCAAGCTTTTCATTCAATTTAAGTTATAAATGTTCATTTGAAATAAAAAAGTTTTCTGTAGATAATTTTAAAAAATTTGAAAAACTTGAGTAAAAGCGGTACAACACTTAAACGCTTTTTAGAAAAAATAAAATTGGTGACTTGGACACTTTCTCAAAAATTATTTTGGCACCTAAAATTTAAGAATCATACATAAATATTCTTGTCAAATAGATATGTACAGATTTATAAATTTAAAACATTATAACATCGAAAACGCTTATGTAAACAGATAACATGCAAATATATACTTGTCCCAAGCATAATAGGTAAGTAGGCCTATACCCATTGATCTTTAGACATTAAAGAAGACATCCCATCTATATGGACCAGCTGGAGCCGATTAAAAAAGAATCTCACAGAGTTAACTGTCTAAAATTATATTTTCTCTCTTAGTTGTCATTTCTGTTAAAGAGATGTATTATAAAAGATGCTCATATAATTTTGGCTCGGTTTACAAGTAAGTGTATTTAACAAAATTCAGCACCATCAGCAGACTATGCTGGTAGCTCAATTTATCTACAATAATTTCATATTCTATTAGCTTATAACATGAAAGTGGAATACGGCATTCCATAGCCAAAGTATGACCTAATTTTCAGAGTTCATGGTGTGTGTAGTCATGTTTTGATGATGCCACAAGTGAAGGTCACAATTAGGTCATCGGATTGACCTTGAATGTTCAAGGGCATACCCAGGATGAGGACTCCTGACTTCACAAGTGTCGGTTAATCCCAGGAAATATTATTTGTCGGGATAACCAATAGCAACATTTTTCAGAGACTAGCAAGTTAAATTTAAGTAGTTTGATAACTTATGGAACATACAGTTTAGAAAACATAAGGAACATTATGAATAAATAATTGGTAAAGCTCTAAATTAGGCAGGCATAATTTACAGAATTATTGATCATTGGCTTTAATGTAAAGTATTTAAATATGTAATCAATATGTACAGAATGATTAAGTAAATAACTAGGCCTAAACCTTAAAACATTATTTTTGAATGGTAGGGAAAATTAATTTTATTTAAAAGATCCTTAGTGTTTTTTTTTTCATGATTAGGTTGAAACTTCTATGACAAACTGTTGACTAATTAATTCAAATGACTTTCAAGTTTATGGCTAGGTAGTTGACGTGTTTACACTTTGGTTTTAAAATCACCATTTGAGTCTCAGCATTTTAGTACATTATTCTGTAGTTAATCTAGTTATTTAATTACACTTAACATTTACACACTTATTGCTCATTAGGAGAGTAAAATTATTTTGTCCAGATTTGTTTAAATAAATTAAAAGACTATCACACTTCATAAGAGGTTAAATTTTAGATACTAAAATTTTTACTGTATAAATTATACAAAATAGTTCTAGTTTTGTCATTTTCCGTGTGTAAGGACTTGAACTGGGTCCGGGGGAACAGACTTAGGAGGGGGTCTGAAAGTGACGTAGGTGTAGAGTAAGCTACCGATTATAGATAAGTTGATACCTACAAAGTTGGTAAGACTGTACCTGTAATCCCCGCCGATAAACATTCCTAAGTAGGTTACAAGTATATTTTTCAAACATCCCATAATCGTAGTCGTCAATGCAGAATTGTACTGGGTACACAACATGACACTGTAGTTTAACACAAAACCCATCGTACACGACAATACAAACTGTATGATAAACATTGTATCCGTCCAGTACTCGTACTCATAAACACGCTGCATTTCTCCCATTCCAAAGTTAAGTAGAAAAGATACAGGGAGCATTAACAGTGCACAGTAAAACATCAAACCGTACTTACCCATTTCTTTTTGCGTATTGAGCTTCTTCTTAGTGTAAACAGAGTTTGCTGCAGTTAGAAAATCGTTAATCAGAACAAAACTGTAACCTTGGAAATTGAAGCCGAGATCGTTTCCAGCAGCTATCATAGCTCCCAGTACCATAAGAGCGACTGAGATCTTCACTGATAGTTTTGGGCGGATATTGAGAACGTAGAACTCTGCAATCATTGTCATCAAGATGGCGAATCTTCTCAACATTGTGAACATTGGGAGACTGAGTTCCTTGGTCCCACCCAGGCCAAACACCATGTTTCCAAGGTAAATGAAAGGTAACGGAGAGATTTCTGAAACTGTCCTCGAATTGAAATCCGGGAATTTAATCACACTAAATTGTTTTCCGAGAAATAAAATAACTACTGTAGCCACTAACTGTCCCATTGCTAAAATGTTGAAGCTCGGGAACTCGTAAGTGGTTAGAACTGTCTTGTTTACTATAGTGATCAGTAGAGAGGAACAGGCGTAAAAGAACGCTGTCCAGATCTTCATGATGTTAGAGTAGACAGGCGCAGAGGTCCCCAGTAAAGGTTGATCTTTATCAGCCATCTCTGTCGGCCGAAGCTCACACTAATGGGATGTTTTCAAAAGCCAGCATTCTTTTGCATATTATTATTGTATAGCAATGGACACAAATTCTTCAACTGCATCATCTTTGATGTTAAGGGTTTTAATTGAGTCTCGGATTACCTAAAACAAAAAGTTAATGCAATGATCAGATTGAGAATTTTCTGGAATACTAGAAAATGAAATCCTACAACGCTCACAACATTTTTGTAATTTGTCTTTCTATGTCAATGTCTTCAGTAAGCTAAGCCGTATAAGGATAAGTTTGCTTATTGTTTGTCACTTTCAAATCTGGGTTTGTTTTGATCATTTTGTTTTTATATTTATTCAGAAGAGTTCTGGCAACGACTTTTTTGGTTAGTAATGATAATGTAGGCCTACTCAGTGATGAATCATTTTAATAGTGGCATATTTTATTATTTCCTTCAAATTAGATTTTTTTTAGGACTAAATTCAAATTTAGAGTTCGACATCCGGGTGCAGTTCTAGAATATGCAACCAGCTACCAAGTCCACTCTGAAGTACTGCCCACTATATTCATATCGTCTTCTTAATAACTGTCTCTGCCATCACCGACGATATCGTTGATAGCTAATCTATATATTAATACGCAAGCAGTTTTCTTTTCACAGTCGTAACTTGATAACTGCTTGACGGATTTTATTGTTTGAGGTGTCAAATTAAAGGTATTTTTATGTAGATGTGCAAATATGTCTCAGAAAATTAAGAAAGGGCATAACTTGAGTACAGTTAAGGGCTAAAGTTTGGGAACGGTGGCGCTATCTGTTGACATTAGATCACACCATCAAACTCAATTCCCTTTGTTTACAACTAAACATATGGACAATGTTTAAAATAGTAAGTTTAACCACAGACTGCAGGACTTATTACTTCCAGAGCAAAGCCGGAATTTTATATTTTATTAAAACATCCGCTAACTAAGTCTGGTTCATAAATAAAGAGTTTTATAGCAAGACCTGACAACAAATTGTTTGTAATAGTTTAATTTATTTACCTTACATTGATTGTATTTTACTGAATTATCATGTAGTTTTGGTTACAGTTCGGTGTGATTAAGTAAATGTTTGAAAGTGATTATTCACAGTGCAGTTACCCGTTACATTACTATATTATCATGTAATTTACAATGTGTATCAAAATTCCTTTGTAGTGTTTTCTGTTGATTGGTTAACTTTCGTATTTTATGTAAATTTAAAATTAAATACCACCAGTAAGACGAAGAACTGTGAGTGGCTGGAGGGAACGCAAACGTGAGCACTTGCATCAACCTCCCAATTTGACGGATACAGAGTGGCAGTACCGCTACCGTACCGCCATCGTACGGACAAATGCACGTTAAATTCTTACATTGCGGTGGTTTACATTTTAAGAAAGAAAAGACTGGCCGAGACAGTTAAGTTTTTACTCTTCGTTGCCATAAATGGAAGGTTCGTTTACCTCATTTGCGGAATTCACCATACTTTCAGGAACTTATTGGAAACTCCCAATCTGAAAACAGGGCTGTGAGGCTTGAATCCAGAAATTATCTGGAAAAAATTAGTCAATTCAATTTCGCCTTTGCCATGGTCAGCTCTGAAGCTGACGAGAGGGTCACACAGGGGATCTACAATTTCAAGATCCATGACACTTTTGACCACCGAGTAGGTAATCTAATTCTTAAAGAAGGCCATGATACGCACAGATATATAAGTACGACGTTGGCACTGAAACCCAACGGGGCATGCAAAACAATTCAAACAAAATATGCAATGAAAAAATATGCGGGAAATAGGGTCACAATGCCAACCCATTTGCCCAATCTTTTAAAACTGTGGCAGAAATTTTTAGGGACAAGAGCTCCGAGGAGTCAAGTTAGATTTTATGTGCTTAACCTAGTAAGAGACAAAAGAAGTGACTTCCCTTGCTACAATGCTACCAGCATAGATGTCACAGCTATTTTAAAGCTGAAAACAGAGCACCACTTGACCAAATAAATCTTTGTTTTTTTTTGTTTTTTTTTTAATTAATAGTGAATCCGTTCTAGATACGTCGTTAAATCCACTCTTATGTTTCCAACCGGAGACTTCAGGTGGGGCACCTAATTTAAACACGCCTAAAACAGAACATATCGTACAAATAATTTAACAATGCTATAGTACGTGTTGTACTGGTTCGCGTCAAGAGAGGGATTAAGCTTGCTACATTCTAAAAAAGCTCACTTTACAGTGTGTGGTTAACATCAAAGGCTAGGCGCACACGAGCGATTATTTTGAGATGATTATTTCATCGGCCGATCTGTGCATCAAATATTAGAATGGAAGCGCGCACACAGGCGATCGAGAACTGCGCCGATTTTAAAATCTGGGTTTTGCTGCAGATTAGTAGGCTAGGCGAGGCGATTGTCGCCCGGAAATCTGTAACGTACAGTTTGAGTTGTGTTGTTTTCTTTGCTAAAAAGGCCACAGCTGTGGTATAATAAAAACTGAAACTTTCAACAGACATTCTATAGTAATTAAAGAACTTTTTACTGTCATCACATAAAGTGTAATGTAGCCTATATAAAACTGTCGATTTAAAAGACTCTGACTTACTTTTGGATGAACCCAATATTTAAATTATCTTCTTTTTTTCTTTGATCTAATTAGAAGAGCACAAACACAGTTTAATTCAACAAAGTCCATTTTAGGATAGCTTAAACGTACTCAAAAAATCCATTTCTCGACTAAAAAATCGCCATGTGTGCGCCTAGACATAAATCAAGGGCGATTTATATTTGGCTGATTTTTTAATCAGCCGATAGAAAAATCGACCGTGTGTGCCAGGCCTAAGTTCTCATAGAGGGACACCCGCCTACAGTACATAAGAGATTACACAAGCAGTATGAGAACCGATCTATATTTAAATATTGTAGGGCCTATTGTAGATTAAGCTTAGGGCCTACTTTTATATACACATATTTTCACATTTCTAAAATCAGTCATAGAAATTACTTTAGAGTGACTCTATGATTGAGGTTGTGCTGTTTATGTTTTTTGTTCTTCATGATTTTATTACAAGTTACAGTTTTGCCGATTTCGATTAACAGGTTATCTAGTAATGTAATATTCAGCGGAAACAACAGTACAAGCAAAAAAAAGCTGACACCTACGCACATCCATCTTCACTGGAAAACCTGAAAAACTGAGTTTAGAGCAAAAACCATATTTTGTCCGTCAAAAAGCCTTAAATAATTTTCAGCAAACATTTTTTCCTAGTTCGGCCTAAAAACGTTACTGTTCGTCGCGAAGGTATGCCAATTGTGGACACAGCTTAAGGTAGATACAGTAACCAGTAACAAATTATCATCCAACGATAACCAGATATATTATATGCCTATATGGCTAATCTGACTTTAGAAGTGGACCAAAAACACCTGAATGAATTTATCGATTATTTCATTAGAAATAATAGATCTTTTTTCTCCTAAGGGTAGGCCTAGGTACTTATGGATCTGATCTTGAAGAGTACCTAGGTCTAAGAAGTTGTTAATGATGGTTTAATCAAGGCATTAGTTTACATTGTTATAGGAGAATTTACATTGAGATAAACTAGGTTAATAAATCATCTAGACTAACAATGTATTGAGTATGGTATTATAAGATTAATACTCACATATTAACCTGGACAGAATACCTTCTTGTAGGCAGATATTTTATAAACAATACAAACAGTAGAAAGATGGTTCTGTTTAAAATTGAATACTACAAGATATGGATCTACGCAACACTAGATAAGTTGAATTGTTCCTTGGCTCATCATTGCATTTAACTAATCAAAATGATCATCATAACCTCAATGTCACTTTAACTTCAATCACAAACAACAAACAAATACAAATGGCAATGGCAGTGAAAAAAACCGGTGGGGCACACGGGAGGGACTAAGGCTAACATATCTTGTAGTGTCAGCGTTCGCCGCTAAACTACTAAGTTGAAAAAATTTAAATTATTTTTTTTAAATTTTTAGTTATAAAATTAACTTTTTAATTATAAAATATTGTTTTAAGATTATAAAATAAATTTTTAATTTTTAAAATTAAACTGTCATAACATAACCTAACCAACCAGACTTGCTCATAATATAAAAAACTATATAAGATAAAAATCTAATTAATGATTACTTATAATTTTTAATTAATTATAAAATTAATTTAAAAATTTAGTATTATAAAATTAAACTGTCATAACCTAACCTAACCGACCAAACTTGCTGATATGAAAAATTTGTTGACAAAAAGTTGGTGCTGCCAGCGGGATTCGAACCCAGGACCTTCTGAACCCCAATCCGTAACGCTGCCAAATATGCCACGAACGCCGCTGAAATCACATCGTTTCGTTACGGTAATCGTGTCGCCTCAAGAGAAGTTATTAGCCACTAGAGATATGACGTCACTACACCTATAGCCTTAGTCCCTCCCGTGTGCCCATTCCGAAAAAACAGTCTTGAAGTGATGTATAGCAAACAGCTGACGCTGACGACACTATTGTTGTAACAAAGATACAGTAGTAAAGTCTAGCTTTGGCTTAGCTCGATTGATCAGTTGATCGCACACTATATGAAATGTGTTAATAGTTTTTGAGCTCTGTTGATACACATATTTAAGATTTGTATGGAGATTTTAAAAATATTTCATCTATATCCTATACAGAAACAATGACATTTAAGAAATTAAAATCCACCTTTTCACTAATTACACTGTAAGTCGTCGGTCTACAATGGATAGCCACCAGACTACTACAGTTAAACCCATAATATATCGATGGTTAAACCACGTTAAACACTGTTTGCTTTAATTTCCCAATTGACATGAAACTTTGACTGATAAAGTCCGGGAACAACTAACTACTAATTATTCTTGTCATGTGACCTTGTTATATGTTTTCCTTAATATTGTTAATTTTGTTGTTGTTGTAGTCACTGTTGAGCAATAATTACGATTTTTAGAACAACAATATCAATGTAAATAAAGCAAACATAAAATATTAAAAGATAACTTATAATTTTATAATACCGTAAGTTATTGAAACTTGGTAACAATGGTAACACTATAAAATGGTTTCCATCCTATAGTTTTTTCCTGGCGATCGGTGTTAAGAAAAAGGGGAGTTGCTACTATAAATAACCAATTTTGCAAAAGAATATTTATTTTTACTATTGTTATGTTCTATTTAGGGTAAAAAAAAAAAAACACAATATAACGTATAATTTATCACGGTGAAAAAATATTTGAAGTGGATCGCGCGCACCTCTTTCTATAGTTACTACAGTAAGTATAACAATGGTATGGTCCGCTGTTTTTCACAACTTTGTAAAAATCTGGTATTTTTTACATAAGTTCTTATAACTATTTAGTTATTAAAGCTATATGAATGACATTTTTACGACACATTGTTAATACTATAAAGCAGATTTTGTGCATGGATATATTTTAATAGTTTAAAAACAAGTTTATGAAAACAAAATTTAAAAAGATTAATTACATAGGAATATTTAAAAAATATATTCATGAAGCCATAACTCATTAAATAATTGAGAAAATAAATGGTATCAGCAATCTGACACATACAACCTCCCATAAGCCTGTCAACAACTTTACTATGGGTAAGCGGTGGGAGTAACTATCCTATACTCTAATACGAGCAATGTTTGCTTGTATGTATGCTTGCTTGCTTGCAGAAAGATCTCGTAAACGGCTCTGCCGATTTTCTTCAAATCTTGTAAATAGTTTATTTTTGGCCTAAAAACGAGTTTCATGCAGTTAGAACTGCCAACAAAAATCTAATTACGTAGAAAAACGAAACTGAAAGTCACATTTTTTTAACATTAGTCTTATGGGTTGCTAAGTAACAATGTTGGTTGAATTAAATAACAAGGAAAAAGTAAACAAAAAACTTGAAGTTGTAGCATGTGTTCATTATAAGGCAATTACCCACAGTATACTAGCAAATTACAAATACATTACAAAAGGGAAATCATCACTTGTTACTATTGAGCAAAGATTATACTGAAGATTGCTCGATACATTGTAGGAAGTGATGAAGGAAGTAGTAAAGGCAAGCAGTATGAAGTGCGGGACCTGTTTATGACGATTAGATTAAGGTACTTGCAATCATAAAATGCTATGGGAAGGGAGGGAAACAGGTCCGCGACGTAGGAGTTAGTGAAGGAAGTAGTCAAGGCGAGCTGTCTGGAGTGTAGGAACTGTTTATGATGATTGTATTAAGGTATTTGCAATCATAAAATGCTACGGGAAAGGAGGGAAACAGGTCCGTGACGTAGGAAGTGATGATGGAAGTAGTAAAGGCAAGCTGTCCGGAGTGTGGGAACTGTTTATGACGATTAGATTAAGGTATATGCAATCCTAAAATGCTATGAGGAGGGAAGAAAACAGGTCCGCGATGTAGGAAGTGGTGAAGGAAGTAGTCACGGAAAGCTGTCTGGAGTGTGGGAACTGTTTATGACGATTAGATTTAGGTATTTCAAATCCTAAAATGCTATGAGAAGGGAGGGAAACAGGTCTGTGACGTAGGAAGTGTTGAAGGAAGTATTCAAGCCGAGCTGTCCGGAGTGGGGAACTGTTTATGACGATTAGATTAAGGTATCTGCAATCTTTAAATGCAATGGGAAGGGAGGAAAACAGCTCCGCTTCGTAGGAAGTGGTGGAGGAAGTCAGTGCAGAGTGTGGGAACTGTCTGTGGCAATTACATTAATGTATCTGCAATCCTAACATGCAATGGGAAGAGAGAAAAACAGGTCCACGACATAGGGAGTGCTGAAGGAATAAGTAAAGGCGAGCAGTGTAGAGTTTGGGAATGGATTTTTGTATCTGCAATACTGAGACTGCTTTCAGAGTAAACTAATGATTTTCCCCGAGCAAAGCTCGGTCCCCAGGTACTGATATTTTATAGGGGAAAAAATCACAAAAGTTGTAATATCCTTTGAACCATAATTGTTACAGCAAAGGGAGGTTGCACTATTTTGTTTAGAATAAGGACCATAACACATTAATTTTAATTAATACCAGCCGTTTTCCTGAAATCAGATGTTACGGTATGTTATTTTATGGGCTTTTTTGTACAGAAAATAACATAGGTAAGCTACAACAACTTTGAAACCGTAATTTTCACAGAAATGGGATTTGTACAAAATTTAGTTCAAAATTTAAAGGACTTTTGCCTACTAAATTTTTATCAAAATCGTTCGGGCCATTTTCGAGAAAATAAGTCATACATTGTTTTCAGGTTCAAAAGCTTCATTTACATTTACTTTTCCTTTTCATTTTATAAACACAAATAATTTTGTAGGAATAACTTAAGCAAAGACCTAAAATGAGATACCGTACAGAATACAACAACAAGAAAACCATAAAGACACACACTTGTCACTTTGTGATTTAACACCAGTATTTTGAACATTTCACAAAACTAATCTAGATTAAAAAGTCTTGTATTCTACCCAGCTGAAGGAGGAAACCTTAATGCGAAAGATTCATCAACAAAACTTAAACATTGCAACACAATTTGAAGTTTCATTCATAATTTAGGTACCTTATGACATTTTACTTTTGACATTCAAAAAACGTACACTCATATTCAAGTCTTTTTTTGTTAATGAACTTATATAATGCGCTATGTGGAATTCTTATACAATTTTCATCATCCGAGTTACTTTCCCCCGCCTTTTTAGAACAGTCCACCACAGAAGCCTTTAATGTAGATGCATATAAAAACTTATCTTTTTCAAACTTTACTCTTAAAAAATAATCATTTTTCAACTTTCCAATTGGAGTTGCTTCAAAGGTAATTTCCAAATTTTTCTTATTTAAATGATTGGTAACCCAGAATATATTGTCAAACACGGAGATAAGCATACGATTAACACAGCATGCCTCAGGATGAAACGGTTCCCAAGAATAAGTTAAAGATAAATCTGCTTCGAAGTCGAACTCACAGATGAAGTCTTTGAAATGCCTTTCCTCATAGTGATCCATCAGTTCTATCAAAGGAGTCACAGTGTTGCAAAAACTTTGTCTACACTTTGCAGGTCTGAAGCCACAAAATTCCTCATGGTCACTCCCGGGCTCCACGACGTCTTCGCAACCATCTCCATGGTACTTGCACTGACGAGGAAGGGCTTCCAGAAGGTTTTTCAAACACACAGGATTCTCTGTTGTAAATGGACCTTTGCATGTAGGACAATCCTTTAACTTTTCGCAGCAGCAGTTGCAAACCCCATGGCCTCTGCTGCATGTCTTAAATGGAATTTGGATTGTGTCCAGACATACTGGACATTCTACAATCTTATTTAGGGATAATGTGATGTCCTTCAGTCTCGTTTCAGATTTCTTCTGAAAAGAAAACGAAAATGTTGGTTTAACATTTAACTTTTAGTGGATCAGCTCATGGATCAGCTATAAATTGATAACTTCATCACTAACATGGATAGCAAATATTTAAAAGTACTAATCACATTAAATAGGTTTTTACAAATTGATCAATGTATAACTTTGAACAAATGGTGTTTTTGGCCTCAGGGGACATAAAAATGAATACCCCTGCTGCAGCAAACCTGCAGAATAACCTTAGAAATATCACATTTATTACCTATTCAAATAGAATTAGTTTAATGAGTACTTAGATTTGCTGCAACAGGGAGGGTAAAAGTGTTTTTAAAATGTTAATCGTTAATTAAAAATAAATGCATTTTCCAAATTTGATCAAAATATAAACAAGCAAAAAATGTAAATTTAAAATTCTGATATTATTCATATGGAGAATAAGTAAATTTTGTAATTTACTTATTCTCCATAAGAATAATATAAATTTTGTAATTTACTTATTCTCCATAAGAATAATACCAGAATTTTAAATTTACATTTTTTTGGAATTTTCTCTGTAACCATTAGGCACATAATAACGCTTCAATATAGGCCTACTAAATTATTTTTTATCTCTACAAAATGGCTTAGAAAGAAATCGCTAAATTTAAGTTAATGATTTTTGGGTCTAAAATGGGAAAAACCAATTTTTACACCATAAAACCCCCTATGAACCCCAGTTCCTATAGTCCGATCATGCTGGTTCGCGAACTCGTTCAAATAAATGTAAGTTTACACTATTATATCAAATTTTGTTTAAATTGGATCTTTTTTGCTCAAGTTATTGTGCTAACGGACATATATAGGCATATAAATGAATTTTAACGGATGGTGTTTTTGGCCTCTAGGGACCTCAAAAAGAAAAATTAAATCGGTTCCTTGGATCGGGGGGGGGGGGGGGGGGGGTAAATGGGTCTTACCATGAGTACTACGGTAATAGCTTATTCCCTATATGGGAAATTCGCTAAAAAGTAAATCGGTCCCGGGCCTAGGTCTCACCCTGTCTCACCGTGCCACCTAGGTAATACAGGAGTTAAAATACTTCTGTATTGAAAGAAAATCGGGTTTAGGAGACCTACGGCAATATTATTCTTATTCCTTATGGGAAAACCACTAAAACATTGAGATCATTGTAATTTATTGGTTTACCGAGAAGAATTGAATCCCACTTTCCACTTTTCCATCCGTAAAATTTTTAAGAAAAATACTTGTTAGGTTTAACATACATGTCTTAAAATAACTCAATTTTATTGACAATCTCAAGTATACCAACACTCAGTCAAATATGAAGGAAGTCCTCAAATGATTTAGGAACAGTGCTACAAACCCAATGGATCGACCTCATCAGGAATAAACTTACCGACTCTGCCATGATTGATTTGGACACAGTTGTATTTCTTCCGCTTGTTTGTGTATTCCCAGTTTTCTTTGCAAACAACACCTGAAAGCAAAAACGGTATTGTTTGATGGTGGAGATTTAAAGTCAGTTTGTAGTGACTCAAAATGTAGGGTATGTATACATACTATATACTACTTGACTGTAGGCTATGTTTTGTGTGTATATGTTGGTTTGGCCAATTCACTAATTCCAAAAGAGTTGGTGAGAAAACACATAGCTTTTAAGGTCCAACAAAGCTTAAATACCACTTACCAACTTCCAACTTGTTAAGAAGTAGCCCTTAACACAAAGTGGGTTAGTTGACAAAATGTTAAAAAAACTTACACAACTGATTTACTGATTAGTTAACAGAAAACTACTAGCATGAATATTTCAATTCTCACCAAGATTCAAATCAAGAATTAATTAACTCCACTGTCTAGTCTACGTTTCAGTTACGTTATCGTTTCAAGATTTAAGACAACACAAAGAAGCACCTAACACCTAACAATAACAAAGCAGTAACATCAGCTGACGCTTAGCCACTATTGTTGTAACCGCAAAGATGGCCTAGTGAAGTAGTTGGCTTTTTAGCTCAACTATTGATCACACACTATATGAAATGTGTAATTATAGCGATTTTAATGTTAACTGTAATTAAATCAACATGCAAATTAAAAAAAATAATTAAGATATTTAATGCTTTAACAAACTAACATTTTCTACACATCAGAACAATCCAACTCTAGAAAATATTGATTTCTCCTTGACAACAAGAATCAATAAAAATCATCCAAAGATAAACAAATAAAAATGTTCACAATATCAAACAGCTGATGACTAATTTATATCACAAGCACACGCCCCCGTGGTGTCAACACCAGCACGACGAACATCAGCAATATGGTGTGGCATACCATCAACCTCTACACTGGTTTGTGAGAGCTGCCGTGAGACCACACCAGGCTTCCATCTCGTAGTACATAAGGAATTTTTAGGCTTGACAAACACAGGTTCATCAGGTGAAAACTCAGTTCTTAGTTGCTCGTCACAATTTACAGGTTCGCCCTTACACCTCCACCTGTAGCAGAACAATCTAGAGCTTGGTGTCGACTCTTCATTCAAATCTTCTTTTGGTGTTAGATTATACCAATATACCATTTCTTGGACACTTCTTCTGGTGCTTGTTGCCATTCTCTTTATCGTTCTATGGTTTCGTTCAACGATTCCATTGCCGGACGGACGGTTCACACACCTAAAACGACGGATAACCCCCCATTCCTCACACAGTTGTTCAATTTGTTCACATCTGAATGTTGCACTATTGTCCATTAATAGTTCTTGGGGTGGACCTCGTTCTGAAAACAGTTCAAGTAAGATTTTTACTACCTGTTCTTTAGTCTCACTTGGGATCCGTCGCCAAATGCAAAACCGACTTGGACCACAATCTATAATTGTAAGAAATTTATATGACCCATAATGAGTCACATCAATCGCAAGCCTGTGCCAATTCTTGTCGCAATCCAAGTGCCCCGGCTTCCATTTGATGGGGGATGGATCAACAGATAAACATTCTTTGCATGATTTGACTACGCAGTCAACGTCCTGTTTACTAAACTCAACGGCCGGGTAACAACGCCTAACTGTGAAAAGAGTTCGATTAACACCAAAGTGATGCAGACCATGGATTCTTTTGACCAACTTTTGTTTATCCTCATCCTCTTCTTCACCCATCATTGCAATACTGGTCTTTTCCTCCTCTCTTGCCAACCACTTTTTAGGAACTCTCGTCAGGCGATCTGCTTTGTTAAATTGCGATTTAACCAGATCCATCCTCACCTTAAGGCCACATTCTGATATGAGGTCTTTTAACAAACCCAACCGTCTTCTTACAAGAGCTTCACCCATCCCATGTGTTTTAATACGTCGGTCTCCTGTTAATATGGATGTTACCCAAGCATAAACGGTGGCCGAATCTGTGACCAAGTATAACTCCTTCAAATTCCATTTCAAAGCTAAGTTCACTCCTTTCAACAAAGCCTCTAACTCAGCTAAGTTAATATGCGCCGAATCATCTTCTTTCCTTAGCCAAGACGCGTCCTCAACTATTTCACCATCAATTTCAATGCAAATACCGATCGCCAAGCTGCTAGCATCACACCACACAGTTCCTTTGTCACTAGATGACACTGCCCATTTTATAAGAAACACAGGATCCTTTTCTTTTACGCTTTCCATTATATCTCCTAACATTATCTTGATTCGGTTGCCCACCACATCGTCCCATTTCAAATCTGTCAATTGCCTCTTAAGAAAACTGCATGCTGGTCGAAGCCAACCAGCCACCGGGAAATGTCCGATTAACTGCCCACACAAGGAGTACACATCCCTCTTGGTCTCAATTTTATCCAAAGCTTTTATCTTGTTGTCTCTGGTCCACATCAACTTGCCATCTCTTTTTGAGACGTTAAGCCCCAAAACCCTACTTCCATCAAGTGGCTCCACTGGTTTCGCTGACAGCCCATATTTTTCCAACAACTTCTTTACTACATCACCGTCAACAATGTTCTCATTCACCACTATGTCGTCAACATAAGAGTCCGTAGCACTTCGGACTATTGGGTCCATTGACAGCACTTTATTAACAATTTTGCTCATTATTTTCGGTGCGACATTTAGACCAAACCCGAGTCGTGTTAGACAATAATTCTTATCCTTAAATCGGACCACTTGGAATTTCCATAAATGAGGAGCAATATGGATTTGGAGATATGCCTTACGAAGGTCGATAGTGCTCACATGTTCTCCTAGCTTTCTCCACATCCTTAGCTTTTCCCCACAAACCTCACTTTCTGCTGTATGGCTTGAGACATACTGATTTAATTCCCTGTAATCCATTACAGGTCGCACTTTGTCCTTGTTATGTTGCACGACCGCCATTAAAGGAATTAAGCCATCAAACTCCCCGTCATAAGGCTGGAGCCAACCGTCTCTTATCCAATCATGCACTTCAGCGTCAAACGCCTCCCTTGCCTCTTTTGAAATTGAGTATGAAGGTACTTGGTTATTTATCTTAGGTGTTTTACCGCCATCTTTCCAATTCCATTCAACAGTCCATTTTCCATCAACAAATTTCGCATTAAAGTCACAATCATTAATAGCGATCTCATCGTTGCCATTCTCCGAGGTTTCCTTCACGCACAGCTCCTTCTTGGCCTCAGCCATCGCTCCGATACCAACGTCCCTGAACGTAATAGTGCCATCTCCATCAATAGTGACACCTCCCATTGCAGTCACTGCATCCATCCCTAGAAGCATCTGATACCTTGGCAATACACTGGCAACCAAGCAACTCAGTTTGAGCGGAACACCTCTTATCAAAACTTGTAACATACATGTCATGTTACACTCAACTGATTCTCCATTCATCATTATAATCCTTTGACTTACTGGCTTCAGTTCTACTCCATATTTCACTAAACTAGGTGACACAATGCTCCTTGAACAACCTGAGTCCAGCAAGGCACAGCATTTAAAACCCGACACACTTATTGTTAATGTAGGGAGTTGCGCTGAAGAAATTGGGCCACCCGCGCAACATAAGGCAGCCCCATTCACTCGTTTTTTGGAATTTGTGAACATTTTGAGGCATAATGTCCTACCTCCCCACACCGGTAACAGGTTACTTTTGACTCACGATTTAGATGGGGACACGAACGTGCTACGTGGCCTTCCCTCTCACAAACAAAGCATTTTTTAGACCACTGTTTACCAACTTTGAAAACTTTGGCATTAGCCTGTGCAACCGCCCCAAAGTTTGACTCACTGCCCAACAGATTCCTAGCTCTTGTCATTACATCCGACAACTCCATGCTTTGAAGAGAACACGCAGCTTTCAACTGGGTTTGAGTATCTTCTGGCAAGCCATGTACAACTGCGCTCTTAATCCACTCATCAGATACAAAAGGGTCCACCAATTTTGCCAGTCTCTTCAAATCAGAAGCATATACATCTAGTGACTCACCGGGAAGTAGACGCCTAGCTGTAAATTCTGCATAAGCCTGAAAACAGTTCGCAGAAAAGGCCTGCAGCAATGCATTGGTGAGAGCCTCATAGTTACTCTTTACATTTTCTGCTAGCCCGTCATATACAGAAAATGCTCCTCCAGCCAAAAATAGGGGGAGAACTGTCTGCAAGTCTTTCACCTTTTGGAGCTTACATACCAATTCTAGTTTCTTTAACCACTCACTAAAATCACCACTTCCATCATACTGCTTAATCAAGTCTGAGAACTTAACACCAGTACCTGACATTATGCCGAAATAGCTTGTAATTAAATCAACATGCAAATTAAAAAAAATAATTAAGATATTTAATGCTTTAACAAACTAACATTTTCTACACATCAGAACAATCCAACTCTAGAAAATATTGATTTCTCCTTGACAACAAGAATCAATAAAAATCATCCAAAGATAAACAAATAAAAATGTTCACAATATCAAACAGCTGATGACTAATTTATATCACAAGCACATTAACTTAATAATATTTGAGATTTGAGTTCTGCTGAGACACATATTTAGGATTATATGGAGCGGAACTTTTCAAAATCTATTTGAATTCGCTACATGTTTTTGCCCACTAATAGAGGTGTCTTCATTTCCCGTGGGGTTCTGCCCCAGTGGCCTTTAAAGTTTTACCAACATATTTTGACTTTTCAGGATTGAACAGTCAAACCTTTAAAAATGCTAAGTGAGCACTTATGCCATACAATGTTTTCAGATGAAATCACATAGTATCTTACTGAGAATTTCATTAGCTTTACAAGTTCAGAACTAACATTTCGAATGTAGAATGGGTGGTGTGGTGGGGCGTGTAGAAAGTTTAGCAAACCGATCTTAATTCTCAACTCAGTCAGTGGCTGTGCCGCGTGCGGGATACATCAACTCCATGGCACATGTGTGGATTATTGTTACCATTTTGTTTATTACCGGTAAGTATTATTTAACTTTCTCTTGTGATAATTTTACGGGGAATTGTAGTATACTAAAGATTTAATGTAGAATACACTTTTGCTAGTGTGTGGTTGTGTTTGTATTTAGTAAATGCATTGTCGACACTAACGTGTTGACTTGATTGAATTTAATTTAGATTTTTACTTATATCTTAAAACAGTATTATCTGTCTAGAACTTTTTTGTAATGTTTTCTATTTATTTACTAACGGTAAAATAAAACTTTACAAACATGTTAGACCAGAGTACAAGAGGAAACACTAATAAGCACATGCCCATTTAAGTGCTAAATACGAATTACTTACCAAAATTTATTGTTACTGAAACTTTTTCAACCAACTGAAAAATATACAAGCTATTTAGGAAAATAATTTATTTTTTCTCATCGCACGATACCTTCTGTACCTATTATAAAGAATAGTACTATTGTCCAGTCCATACCCATCAACATGTCGGAATTGATAAAATAGCGAGTTTATCATAAGGACATATAAAAGAGCTTGTTAAAATTGTACGATCATTCTAGGTATCATGCATAATACTTTACAGATGGAGTATACTGAATCATTACTGATTCTTCGAGAAAGTATTGATGTTAATATACAGTATTATTATTAACATTTTCTAGATGCTTTTCATTCTGGATACATCCAGGAAGGTTTTGTGTAAATATTCCGGAAAACTTTCTCAAAACAATACCAAAAGAAATACCTCTACTCAATGTTGGGTTAGTTCAAAACATGCATAGCTATTTTATAAATAATTAAATTGATATTGCACAAATAAATAATAATAACAGTAAATATGATATTGCTTCTGTGACAAGTTATCACAATAGCTAATGTTACTAGATATTCATTTACGTATCACAATATACGAGTTATAAAAGATGTGTTGCTAAATGAAACTAGATTTTAGATTTTATAAAGGTTTATTAGCTTGTTGTGAGAAATCCTCATGTCATATGTGTAACCTGGATAATCTCAAGTAAACATGTGTATTTTCAGACTAGAGACAATACCAAAGAATAGTCCAATATTTTCACGAAAATTTAGAATTTTTGTATCAAACCACTAACTATGAGGTTGTTTCAGAACTTTTAAATTTTTCGTAGTGTTATTAATTCTATCAAACCCCGAAAAGAGTAAAAAATGTAAATAAAGACAGGAAGTAATTGCTCGAAAACTGTTCTAACAATGTTAATGAAATCTGTCATAGTTTTATGAGTTTCAAAACTGAACAAAATGAAACCATCTGCATCTCTTTCAAAATCTCGGTCCAAAAGACACAAGACTTTTAATAACAAAAATATAGCAAATTAACCGTATATATAATCGATTTATTTGTAAAACAATTCAATACATCGATAATGTGTTACAGAGTAATCGAAATTTAATCCAATTTAGGGGTGAGAAATTACCATTTTAAGAGTGTGTGTCTTAATTTAACGCATGTTAATTATATGATCAAATTAAGTAGCGTTTTTATTTATAATCGTATATAAAATACAAAGCTTATAAAATAAAAAATAGGAGCATTTAGTATTGTTCCAACTACATACAAGTAGCTAGTCTACCAACTGCGTAATCCCGACATTTGAACGGCAGTGTAAAGCAGCTACTTTAACATGGAAATGCCCTATTTACATTTACCGAAAGTGCGGAGAATACAAAAAGCTTAATTTATAAAGGATTCGTAAGTGACCAGAATTGATAATTTTCGTTTGCTCTCTGCTTTGGCATTTGCTATGGCACTAGTCTTGTCTTATGGGTTTTTTACATTAGTACGCATCATAGGCTTGCTTATACTACTAACATTCATACCTGCTCTTTGGGGAGTCAAAGTCGAAATTTTTCAACTTTTTTCAATTTTTACTTTTTATGTCCTTTTTATAGCACATAATTTCTCCTTAAAAATGGTATACTTATATTTTTAATTACTAACCTAGAAATGTATACAAAAATATATTTTCCATAACATTGCAGTGTCGTTTTTAAGGTAAAACTAGTAGACCCTTGGAGGCTTTTCTTGCCGATTTCCGCAACTTTACTTTTTAGAACTTTAATGTCATTTTTTCAGGACTGGTAATACATACAGCTGTGAAACTTTTACCATGTAGTCTTAGTGACTTATTCTAAACACAGGCATAAGGATTTCATCATATCTTTAGTAGAAGCATGTAAAAAAAACTAATAAATTTTATTTTGGAAACAAATATTTTTAAAATCTATAAAAACCCATAAAATAGTTATTTTATTTTTTAATGAAAAATCTTGTGTCTGTGACTAGTTAATTAGTTGATATAAAAGTATACCAAGTTTCACTATCCTACCTGTCCTAACTCCTGAGAAAAGTGACATTTAGTTAACATTTCTAAAGATAGGACCTCGGACTCCCCTTATATCATTTAGTGGATTTTCAAGAAAGCTCTTTTGTGGTTGAGAACTGTTATAAGAGTTTAGTTAGTAGTAAGTGCATTCATAGTTTTAACTATATATACTCGTTCCCTATTAAGGTTTAGGTCATTAGGTTGGGTCGTAATATTAGGTTTTGTGTATTTTAAAACATTCTTTGTTGTTTTACTTTGTGCATTCGGGTTGTTTGAGGGATTAGACAAGTCCAAAAAAGTCCCTCTTTAAATATCAAATACATTATGATGCTTAAGAGTGTTTATTCAGTTTTATATTGCATAATTTTTATATTATGAACACAAATTTTCACGAACCCTGTGTACTTAACTTATTGATTGAGGTTTATGATTTATTTGTAAAGCTTATGATCTAGTAGAGTAACGGATTTTTTATAAAAATGCAATTTCCTTCAGGACTTCGTCCTAGAAGCGTTTGTTCTATTTCCAGAGCTCAATTTAGAAAATCCAGCGATTCTGACCAAATTTCTTCATAACGGTTTTGTGGATTGCAAATTAAATGTAATAAAGTTGGCAACACTGCTAAATTGATCAGCTGGTGCAGTGTTTATTTGTCATATAATTTGACAATTGACATGACTACTTAACCTATAAACCTGTTGCTGCGTGTTAACATAAACATTACACACTAACAACTATATTCAGGTTTTGATTAATTATGTTTAGGATTCAGATTTCTATTTGACAATTTGTGAAAAACTTTTATTAAGGTTTTGATTTGTTTATGAAACAATTTAATTCAAGTTTGAGTTAGTTTATTTTTGAAACCACAAAGTGAAAGTTAACATGTAAGTTACCATACATACATTTACCCATTACTCATGCTTTATAGTTGTGGGAAAAATATATAATGTATAGCACAAGCACAAAGTCTCTTTGCTGCACTCGAGAAACCTTCCACACGAGCCGCAGGCGAGTAAACCCTTTTCTTAAGTGCAGCAAACTGCCACTTTGCGCACTAGTTACACAAATAACTATTTCTACTCCTACTGGTACATTTTTTTATTTTAACCAGATTGAGGTAAGTAAATAACTTTTTACGGTGTGGATCTAAAAGCAATAAGTTGTTTGTATTGTAAATTACATTCACCTACTAACTGCCTTAAACAATATAATCTTTGATTAGAAGGTAAAAGGATACCTATTGTATTTCCCGTTTTGCCTTGGAAACAAGTTATGAACCTTACTGAAATGCGCAATCTGCGCATGGGTCCCCTCGTGTAAAATAAAACGGATGAACTTTTTAACCATTTAACTCACAGGGAAATACAATAAACACGTCAAACGTTCACAATTTTTAACAGAACAATGCGTTCCAGAAAAACTATCCTCCAATGGAGTTGAATAGATAATGTTATTGATGTTTATTAAATCTATGCGCATGTTATACAGCTTTACCAACATTAACCACTAACCGTGGTTTTGGATTACCCGCATTAATTCACCTCATTGTTGTGGTTAGTGCGGTGAAACTATTTGTAACGACCGTTAAATAAAGTGTAAGTTACCCTAACTTGTAAGTATAGATTTATGAGTTAACGAACTATTCATGGATTTGAACAGATAAAATTTGTGATAAACCTGGAGAGAGTGTCAATTTAAGTATTTTAATCACCATACCCCGTTGCAACTTAGACTAAGACTATTTCGTCTTAGTTAAATCCTTCAGGTCAAAGTATGGCTTTTCCGCTGGTATTATAGCTCAAGCAAAAATCACTAGCCTAATTTGTAAAACCAACGTGCACCATAACGTGCACCATAAGTGCACTCCGGACTTGAAACACTTGATTTCGAATTTACAAAAGGAAGGAGGACTATAATAGTCATAATAATAATACTGCTAATAATTAGTAGTATTAAAATTTAATAATAGTGCCAATGATGAGGTTAACTATTGAGAAACAGTTTAACTTGAAAATCCCTGCTGATAACTGCACAACTTCTATACATCGATCCTTTCTTCACTGTACAAAGCGTGGTCGGCGGCCTGGAGTGTGGAGTGTAGAGTTCTCAGAGGCCCTTTGGTCCATCGCAGATCATCCTGCCGTGCATAACGTCGTCCACGGACTAAAAGAGATTCCCGGACGCGCGACACGGTATTTAGTGTATTTATTTAATTCAAACCCGATCACGGTGTAAGAAATTTCAAGGTACAAACTGGTGCGTGATAAGCGGTAGCGGAATACAAGTTGATAAGAGACTAGGAACTAGGAATAGGTAATGCTACGTCACTGGCAGGATTGCCAACTTGGAAGAATAGCAACGAGTCTGTAGTTTATGAATGTATACCAAAATGGGCTGCAACTCATTTAAACTTGATTTTGTACTTTATTTATTACTAGCTGGCCCGACAGACGTCGTCCTGTCCTAATGTGGTTTTATGTCAAATGCTCGTTCATTTTCAAGATAAGCTCGTTCGCATAGCTCAATCACGTCCTGGTTGAAGTTCGTTCGATACGCTCACTCACCTTTAGGTTGGAGCTCGTTCGCTGTGCTCACTTGCCTTCAGGTTAGCTCGTTCGCTACGCTAACTTGCCTCCAGGCTGCTAAT